TTCAGCAATATCTAAAGCCAGTTGGACAGCCTTTACCTCTGCAAACTGACTTGATTCTCCTTTCCCTTCAGTGGCCTCTGCACCTTGTCGTGTGGGGCTCCACACAGCAGGTTTCCATCTGCGATGCTTCCCCACCATACAACACGATCCATCTGTGAACAGGACAAATTTCTGTTCATTTTCTGGCAGTTCATTGTATGGTGGGGCCTCTTTACCATGTGATACCTCTTCTGCCATTGATGTTCCAACATTTTACCTTCAGGCCAATGCTAAGATGATCTAAGATTCCTGGACAGCTGAGGTTCCCCACCTGCGCTCGTTGTGTAATCAGCGCAATCCACTTCCTCCAAGTGGCATCGGTAGGGCAGTGGAGGGAACCTTGCCTTTAAACATCCAGTTCAGCACTGGCAGTCGAGGTGCCAGAAGGAGCTGTGTTTCAGTACAGCCGACTACTTCAGAAGCAACCCGAACCCCCTCATACATGGCTGGGATCTTCTTTTCAGTTGGAGCGTAGCCCTCTTCGGACCCCCTCTACTCCAGAATCCCAGGGGTCGACCTTGGGTCTCTCCTGAGTTCTCTCCCACAGACTCCAAGTGGGACCTTTCTCTCCAGCAGCAGTGCAGAGGACGTTCTTTACATCCAGTCTCATTCATACTGGCCCCAGGGCCATGGCACAGGCTATCTCCGGTTTAATCTGCTCAAAAGCCTGCTGCTGCTCAGGGCCCCATATAAAATTATTCTTCTTCCGCATCACCTGATAAAGGGGACTTGCAGTGAGGCTGTAGTTTGGGATGTGCATTCTCCAAAAGCCCACTACGCCCAGAAACAATTGTGTCTCTTTCTTACAAGTGGGCGGAGACATGGCAGTGATTTTGTTGGTCACATCCATTGGGATGTGACAATGTCCATCCTGCCACTTCATACCTAGGAACAGAATTTCCTGGGCAGGTCCTTTCACTTTGCTTTGCTTACTAGCAAAACCAGCTCGCAGAAGGATCTGGATTATTTGCTCTCCTTTCTCAAAAACTTTCCCTGCTGTGTTGCCCCACACAGTGATGTCATCAATGTTCTGCAGGTGCTCAGGAGCACTGCCCTTCTCCAGTGCAGCTTGGATCAACCCATGGCAAATAACTGGGCTGCATTTCCACCCCTGGGGCAAATAGTTCCAAGTATCCTGAATGTCCCTCCAGGTGAAGGCAAACTGGCCTGCATTCTGTGGCCAAAGGAATGGAAAGGAAGGCATCAGCAATGTCAGTGGTGGCATGCCGCTTGTCTGCTTTTGACTGCAGTTCATAAGGAGTTCTAACATGTCCGGCACAGCAGCACTCAGTGGGGGTGTGACTTCATTCAGGCCACGGTAGTCCACCGTCAGCCTCCATTCTCCACTGGCTGTACGCACTGGCCATATGGGGCTGTTAAAAGGCAGGTGGGTTCTGCTGATCACTCCCTGACTCTCTAGCTGACGAATCAGCTTATGAAGGGGGAGCAAGGAATCCCTGTTGGTGCAGTGCTGCCGCCTGTGCACCGTTTGTGTAGCAGTCGGTACCTGTTGCTCTTTTGCCCATAGCAACCCCACAACAGACAGATCTTCTGAAGGCCAGGCAAAGCAGGCGGCTGCTTAACACCTCTTGTGTCCACAGCAGCTATTCCAAAGGCCCATCGATACTCCTTGGGATCCTTAAAGTATCCCCTTCTCAGGTAATCAGTGCCAAGTATACAGGCAGCCCCTGGGCCAGTCACTATAGGGTGCTTTGCCAACAAAAGGGAGGCCTCCAACACGATCAACTCTTGGAACCCCAGTCACCCCAGAAATATAAATTGATTTTGTCCCTTGGTGACTCAAGGGCATCAGAGTGCACTGTGCACCAGTGCCCACCAGTGCCTTATATTTCTGTGGTTCTGATGTCCCTGGCCATCAAATCCACCTCCCTTGTGGGACTGAGAGAGTTGGGGCTCTTTAGCCTGGAATAGACAAGGCCTCCAGTACTTGAAGGGGGCTTACAGGAAAGCTGGGGGAGGAATTTTAAAAGGGCAGGTAGTGACAGGATGAGGGGAAGTGGCTTTAAGCTGGAAGAGGGTAGATGTAGGCTAGATATTAGGAAGAAATTCCTCGCGGTGAGGGTGGTGAGGGACTGAAGCTGTGGATGCCTTTTCCTGGGAGGCAATCGAGGGCACGCTGGATGGGGCTTTGAGCAACCTGGTCTGGCAGGAGGTGTCCCTGTCTGTAGGAGGGGTTGGGACTGGATGATCTTAAAGGTCCCTTCCAACCCAAACCATTCGGCGACTCTGTGAAAGTAATCTTATCCAAAGTAGACTCTAAGCAGGTCAGTGAGAGATAACAAGTTTCTCTCATTGACTACTGAAAATAAAAATCTAACTTGTTCCCTGTACGTGAATATTGGGCAGAGAAGTGCCTAAAGACACCGCAAGACTGTGGTGATGATACAGGATTGCTGTATAAGATAGTGGAGTAAGAAATACGAGCCTGAATAGGCAGGAGATGAGGTGAAGTAAGATGCAAGGAAAGTGGAGAAATACAGCATACAGTGAGCAAAGAAAGATTAATACTGTAGTTTAAATTATGGATGGCATGTTTTGAGCTATAAGAGTCTCAAGGACAGGCATTAATTGAGGTCTTAATAGTGGTGATAATAAATCGGTGAGGAAAAATAATTTGCTTTTGATTTATGCTGATGAGAAAGAGAAGGAGGCAAAGAATTGAGTTAATATTTGGGTGGGTTGAAGGAAGCAGTTTTTTGCAGAGTATGAACAGAGATGAGTGAACCAAAGACTTTGGGCACAGCGGGGCTGGTAATGTTCACACAACTTCCGAGTGAGCTGAACGGGGTGCTTACATTTTTACCTTGGAGAAGAAGAAAAAGCAGCTAAAATGTTGGGACTGTCTGGCCAAACAGATACTCTGCATTACACTTAGCCCTTGAACAATTTAAAATCTCTTGTACACTGTGCAACTGATTGGATAGCGATGTCTGCTTTTGGTTGAGATTAATTATTCCATGGTCTCTGCTGTGTGACTGTACTGTCGTGATCTCTTTTGACTGTAGAGAGCACTTTCAAATGCAGAAATATTTAGAAGTCCAGATAGAGTCGTTCTGCCCTAGCTGATTTTCCAGAATGAGTGCCTCCTATGAAATTTGCAGAGACAGTAAACTCAGAATGCCGGCTCAGCATTGCTCTTTTTTAATGTATTCAAGAGTCGTATAATCTGTTTGACTATAAATTTTTATTGAGATGTCGTGAAGTATTAAATTTATGTGTGAGAAAGCTAGGGGAATCTCCTATTTCAGGTGTGTGCTGTACACGCACTGCTGCAGAGCAGCTCGCTGCACTGGTAGCAGTGGTAGAAAATGAGTGGAAGAAAAATCATTTGGAAGAGTTTGGCAGAGTTGCGCCCGTTTATTAAATGAGAATTGCGCACACTCAGCGGTGGTGAGCTCTGCAGGGGTTGGGGATTCTTATCTAGAGCGCTGTTGGTATGGGTGCATGCCTGAATGGTTGATCTGGCTTGGTAAGAGAGACATGAAAGTGGCTTCCCAGGGCAAGGGAAGAGAAGGTGTGATATAACGGAACAGATATTATTTGTGTCACATATTCCAGCCCATTTTCTGTTGATTTCTAACCATGTGCAACCACTGCCTATGTACTGTTTTAAAGGTGGTTTAAACACCAGAGGTTCTATGGGTTCTGGTGAAAGATCACTTTCAGCAGAACAGCTGTTCAGACAGTTAATTCCCAACCTGGAGGATTATTGTTTCCATTGCAGCTCCCCATTTTTGACATCTTTACCACCTTTTATTGAGCATTTGCTGCAGCAGAGCACAAGCTGCGATTAGTGTAGATACTGAGGTCACCTCTGGGTATGCAGGCCTTGACTTCTGTATTTCTGTTTGTACCATTTGTTGCTGTGCTGCCACAGAGTCATCTGGAGGGAACTTGCTGCATGCAATGGGAGATTTCCCTCTAGATGGCTACATCATTTTCCCAAATGAGGAGTGTTTGAAGTTGAAAGCAGCTCTCTTCTGTTAACATACTTTGCAGTTGTGTCCACAATAGAGGACTTGGTGGCACAGTTATATCAGAAGATGGATGTTTCTCCCAACGTGCCTGACCACATTAGCTGTTTTGGTAAATAGATTTATACGAGAAATTTAAAGAGAGGAATTTACAATTTCAAGCTAGAATTTTGGTGGAACAAGGTAACAAAATGTTTCTGTTTGTACGTGTGCTAATAGTTCATTAACTATCATCATAATTAATATTGTTATCCAGGATAATTATATGTCCTTGACTCTTCATTGGAGTCTTCATTCTTCCCTGCTGGTTACTGTTCACTTATTTCATAATAATTTTGAGAATATGACTCATTTTCTATAAATCTTTCATGCTCTCAGTTTCTCATTGTTCACATTCCTTTTGGCAGCCATAATGACATCAGTAGGCTTTCTCAGCAGAAAAAAATCTAGAAGTCGTAGCTGTTATGTAAGTTTATCTGACATGGACTTGATTAGACAATCGCTAGCACAAAATTTGGGCATCCCAACAGATTATTGAAGGTATAATGATGATTAACCAGAGAAATAACTGCTTTCTTGCATTGGACAGTGTTTAAGAACATACTCATAGAGTGCCTTAACCGAAAAATCTCTGAGTTGGTGAAAAGCCTGCTTATACACCGGAAATCATTGCATTAGGGCGAGACTTGGCTCCTCAGTATTGTATGTATGTGCCATCCAGCCGTTCAGTGCAGGAGGTGAAGAAGCTTGTATTGCAGAAATGCGCGTGAAAACAAGATGCGATTTGAGGATGAGGGTTAACTCCTACTTTGAAGGGAAAATTCAGTGGGATCTTTCATGGGTCCTTGGTGTAGAATTGTCACCTTTGCACATTACAAGAATCACAAAGGCGCTGGTGGGGCTGGCCTCGGGATTGCGGAAGCATGCAAGGATCTAAGTAACACCTAGCTTATTTGTTTCTTTTAGATTCATGAGACAATCGAATCCATAAATCAGCTAAAAATACAACGTGACTTCATGCTGAGCTTCTCCAAAGATCCCAAAGGATACATCCAAGACCTTCTCCGGTCCCAAAGTAGGGATCTTAAGGTGAGCCATGGTTTGAAGAGTGGGACAAGAATGTAAGAACTATAGTTAGATGTGTATAGCATATGTGGCTAAAACATCCAGGATAGAAAATTTGTGGAAAAGAAGACAGTGAGTGTAACGCTGCTATCCCAGAGCAGAAAGTATGCAGGAAAGACCAGTTAGGCTGCCACCTCAAAACCAGTTATATCAATAAAGCCGTGAAATTATTTTATCGAGTTGTCCTTCAAATATAAATATCTACTTTGTTAATCAATAATCTTCCAAAGATCTGTTGTCAAGATTCTGATGATTACTTATATTCAGAAGGGGAATAGACATCTAAAAGAATGTTCAAATACACCTCCAGCTTGAAGACCTTACGAACGAAGGTGTTGTGGAGCTTCTGTAGCTGCATACATAGAGCTGTAGCTTGGTGTTCTCCCTGCTGTTAAAATGTGAGAGATCCGCAGCACTTATCTTGGGCAGAGGAATTACTCCTTACTTGCTCTGGAGCAGAGGTTGGGGCTGTTCACAGTTGGCCTGTTATCGTCATGTGCCATTCATGCCATTCGTTGTCCGTTTGCCTTGGGCTTAGAGGTCAGCCCTGAATATTTTTAACGTAGCAGTGCAGATAAGTTTTGACTCAGGTAAATCTAATATTTCTCTACATGGGAGAGTAGCTATAGTGAAAAGTATTTTTATTTTTGTCACAGGTGATGACTGATGTAGTTGGAAATCCAGAAGAAGAACGCAGAGCTGAATTTTATCATGAGCCATGGTCTCAAGAGGCTGTGAGCAGATATTTCTACTGCAAGGTATGAAGGAGTTAGCCACACTGATGGCTCATAAGTGAATCTTCCTGTCACTGAACAATTGAATCTGCTGAACTATACAGTTTCTCTTTTTCTTTCAGATTCAGCAGCGCCGACAGGAACTGGAACAGTCTCTGGGAGTGCGCAACACATAAGCATTGCTCAAAACATCACATTGGCATCATGACCACAGAACAAGTGGACTCCCCAGTGTTACTTAGCTCACTGTTACACATGGACCTGCTTCCTGACTGGCTGGGAATGTACCATCAACAAACCAGCCAGAACACCAGCTTTAGAGTGACCCTTGAAAACAGCGCCCATGGGAGGTGTCTCAAATCATTCCAGGCCATAGATAGCAGAAGATTGCCATGCTTTATACAGGTGTCAGTGCTAAAGAAGATTAAAGATTAATTCATCGACTTGCATCATTGAGTTCTAGTGGAAAGTTCAGACACTACGCAGCAAATCCTTATGGGTTATGCATAGAATCACGGATGGTATTGATGGGAGAAATTGAGTTGAGTGTTATAAAAGACTACAGATTTAGAGAAATAAAGGTAATTCTCATCCTGTGTTACCTAAGAGTCTCAAATAGTAACTTCTCTGGAATGAGACCAGATAGTCTGATAGTTGTGGAATGCTTTATATTCCTGAATAGAACTTTCATTACAGTGCAAGGAGCCATCATGCTATGTAAAATAATAAACTAGGAGAGTTTTCATTCCTGAGATGAAAAGCTCTTCTGGACATTTATTTTGCAAACTGTAACACGCTTCATTTCCCTGCCAGTGCAATGAAAGGCAAACAGGTTTCTGTATCACATGAGTATGATCAGTGTGCCATACTGAGAGGAAGAAATTTTTTCCAGAATGAAAGCCTCTTAAGCATTCTCAAGTGTCAGTGGGTTAGTGAAGCAGAAGTTGAAGCAAGAAATAAGGCAACCTAAGAAAATGCAAATAACTAATGGTGCTTTGCTGATACCTGCCTTGAACACAGCAGATATTAACAATAAGCCTATGGGCAAAACAGGAGATGACTTCAGCATTTCTTTCTTTGTGTGCCACTGGAGATGGAGACTGTAAAGAAGTTCTCTAATTGTTAAGTTGGTTCAGAATCCAAAAAACTTAACTTCATGTAATGTGGCAGTTTTCTCTTTGCTTCACTTAACAGAATCCCTGGATTGGTCTTCAGTCATAGGTAATCTGCCTTTTCCTACGGATCAATCAGTTCTCCCATTCACTCTGTGTTGGTTACATAGGATGCTGTTGAATTATGAAGCACTATCAGCCTTAGAAACCCCATGGAAACCACCTTCTTTGCAAATTCGTGACAAATTCAGACAGTGGGAATTACACCAGATTGACTTGGGAGCAGAGACATCTTCATTAAGTCCTTCCCCCGTCCTGCTTTCTGTAGTGCATAAATTAGTTTGTCATTAACGAACCAACATGATTTCTGGTCCAAAAAGCAGCTGCCAAAGTATAACTGGGTCCTGATGATGTAGCACTCCATATCCTCTTCTAGGCTGCTCCTCTTCATCTCCTTTCTTTCACTTTCTTGAAATGAAAGTTCACGTGTGCAAGGAATGGAGGCAGCTCTTTTAAGTATTTAATTTTGCTATGCTAAAGTCCTCTTCTGCTGTCGTTGCCAATTCTTTCAGATTTGAATGTAAACGTTTCTTCTGTCCAGTTACAGAAGACACAAGTCTTCCCTCCCAGTGCTTCATTGAACACATCTGCTTACATGTTACCAGTGCCATAGCTTTCACTGCCCATTGTGACCAGAGGTGTCTCAGAAAATTCACGCTTGATTGCAGTCATTTGTTGGCAGTAACACTGTGGAAAAACGTTGGTGTGAGAAAAAGCACAGCTGCACCTCTTTGCCCAAGGCCTTTTCCTGGGAATGGCTTGGTTTGGATTTATTTTATTTTATTTTATTTTATTTTATTTTAGTTAAAAACCCTTTTTACACTAAAACCTGAAATCCAGCAGTCTCAAACTGAGTCTTGGTAGGGGCTGAGAGGTTGTCAGACAGTTAATGACTTTAAATCTTATTTGCTGTAGGACTCTGCTAATTGCACTACAAGCGAAAATTATGAAGGAAAACAGCGAGGATCATCTGTTACTGTGCTTCCATATCTGTTACGCTGCTGTGTCAGTTGTGTGCATGCTGTCCAGTGTAAAATTATTTTCTGTATGTGGAAAACAGAGCAGCTACATTCAGGGGATGCATTTGATCTCCAGGAATAATAAATTCAGAAAAAGATAAGTAGGGATGTGAGAAGGGCACGAAGCTGGGATAGGTGCCATCTGCCAGGGGCTTTTGGTTTTGAGAACATTGTCATTTGAGTGGCAAATATGCCTTCAGAGAAATTCCACTTACATGCCTCAGCTGGCAAAATAACTGAGTCTAATCTACTCCTAGAATCTCTCCTTAGAATTAATTAATTGGATGGGTTTTTCGGAGCAAATTAATGTAAGTAATGTGTTGCTGCTGCCCAGCAGAGCCAGAACAGCACCACGGGAAGCTGCAGCTGTGTTACAGAGCAGCGCTGCACTGAAATGTGTGCAGAGCATGGCGTGTGCTGCTCCTGCGTGGGTCAGTGCAGCAAGAAAAGCCGCCTGCTTACATTCTGCTGTCCGTGCTCCTACTGCACATGAAAAGACTGCTCACCAATGGTGAGTCCGAGGAATAGTCGCCAGATGTCGTCCTTCTGGTTAAAACACGTCTGAAATGTTGATACTTTTATCCTGGGCGTAGAAGCAGTTTGGGCCGTTGTCATCATCCCGGGGTGTCGCCAGGGCTGGGTTTTTGGAAAAAGTGACACTGTATTTGAGGAGAAGCAATGGAACAACTCGGGTAGGAACTGGAGCAAGTGCAGCTTAGGCGTGTAAAAATGAAAGTTAATGGTAATGAGCAGGCATGTAATTGCAGCAGATTTTGAATAATAAATTCATCTTAGTCTCGAGACGATGGTATTTTTTGGCTGAAAAAGAAAAAGGCGAGAAAACTTTTGGGTTTCTTTGGTTTCTATCACAGTACAATACAAGTAAGTGCATACCGCAAAAGTGAATAGAGCAAATAAATCTGCACAGTAGTAGTTAGTTTATAGGTGATAATATAGATTGTTAGAAAACATAGCACAAAATTAGGACAGAGTTAAAACAATGTCTGGAATGCAATAAAAGGGAAATGTATCTTGAAGCTGAAATGCTGGCATAACAGCTAAAGGAAAAGCAAATGTTTGATTGTGGAAGAAAAATACCAGGATAGAGAGGAGAATAGCACGACTGTAAAAGAAAGGAACAAATGGGGGCAGAGTGCCACTGAAGTGCCGTTAAGACAAAGCACAGGATAATGTGCAGAGCATTGCTGAAAGTAGCACAGCTGATGTGGTTTTGTGTATTTTGCGTGCATGTGGTACGTGGGCATCCATGTCGGGGTCAGGTGTGAGAGCCATCCTCAGCTGGAACGTGGCTTGGAAGCGGGCAGCAGGGCGCAGTTCTGTGTGTCACCTCGGAGACTCGTTGCCAAAACTTTTCGCACTGTTCTCAGTGGGGATTTAGCTGTTCCACTTACCAGCACTAGCTGTTCTAGTGCGTGCGTGGCTTCAGCTGACAGCCTTTTATATCACACTGTATAGAATTTGTTCTGCTGAAGCTGGTGAAAGCGAATTATGTGCTACAAGCCCACATTTTTCTAAAGCAGTAGTGAGGTGTTGAGTTGTTTTCCTGTTTGTGTTGAGAACCCTTTTTATGGCAGCTCGAAGAGATGAAGGGGAAATGAAGACACTTTTTTTTTTTTTTCCTGAAGAAAGAGATGTCCTTTCTGTAACTGCTCTGTTGTTTAATAGGATGTACCTGTTCTACCAGATCCTGTATCATCAACTCTTTTCCCAATCTCACTGAAGAAAAGTACTCCATTTAAAAAACACAGCTGTGAATTTGTGAGCAAGCAAACATATTCATGAGGGGAGATGGAAGAGAGACTCCATCTATTCTGTAGCCATCGTGTCTTCACTGTATGATGATGAGTGAGTGGTAGAAAAGCTTTTAACAATAAATGCTTTGTTTCTTTGTAACTCTTGCGCTTACCTTCTGCCTTTTAACAAAGAAAACTTTTTTTGCAAACTTCTTTTGGGTGTAAGTAATGTTATAGGAGCTTCTTCATACGCTTCCTCTACAGAAAATTTTATGTAAGGAGTAGGAAGAGATCGCTTTCTGTGAGACCGCTGAGACCTGGAGACTGCTGAGCAAAGAGGGGCCATTTACCCCCGTCCGTGGTGAAGAAATGAAACTTGGAGAAACTTTTTCTCTCAAAGGGTGGTCAGGCACTGGAATGGCTGCACAGGGAGGTGGTGGAGTCGCCGTCCCTGGTGGTGTTCAAAAGGCGCCTGGATGAGGAGCTACGAGATCTGGTTTAGTGCTTGTGGTACTGATAGGAATGGGAGGGTGGTTGGACCGGATGATCTTGCAGGTCGTTTCCAACCTTGTGATTCTGTGATTCTATGATTCTAAATATGCATGAGGTGATGATCTCAGGCTCTGCTAAAAGGGCTAACTTGATATAATTGGTTTCTTTTGCTCCTGATAAAAGACTCCAACATTCTCAAGTTTTCAGGTTTCTGCTTACTTGTAGGTAAACACACACACATGAAGGGGGTGTGCAAGTACAGGCTTTTAATGGCTTGACAACAGTGAGAACTGTTACTCCTCAGGTCTTTCTTATGTATATGTAGGAGTTTCATGATCTGCTGCCATTTGCAAAAATGCCAAAGTGTCCATGAGAAATCCTTAATAGTGGAGAAATCTGGCTTCTGTGCTTGGTCCTTCGATGTATACTTTGCTCTTGTTATTACTTACAATCAGTGAACAAAAATTTACAGCTGGATCTAGAGCTTGGAAGCTGAGAGGAGACTGGAATAAGCTGTGCCAACAGCCAGCCTTCCTCTATACAAACATTAGAGATACTTGACAAGATGAACAAGCTGCAGTTCCAGCTCGGTGAAGGAGGTTTTTGTTTCAGGGTTAAAGTGTTTAAAGTGTCAGAGCCCAGCAGACTGTCGAGAAGGAACAGCATAAACAAGTGAAGTGTGTGGAGAGCAGAAAGAAGACAAAAAGGTGAAAGAGGAAAGGAAGGCCTAGAATTATTACAGCAAGTCGGTGAAATTGGGAGCAGAAGTAGTAATTTTAATTTGAGAAGAAAGCAAATAGCCTGTATGAAAAAAAAACCACAAATATCTATAAAGATGGACCTGGAATACTTCTACCTGAAAGGTTATCTAGGAAATCTCAGCAGATGAGAAAAAATCAATTTTAATTTTGAAAAAAATACATCTACACACTTCCTAATGGAGAAAAAGCAAGTAGCAGTAATAGCAATTGCATCCTGTGGTAATAACAAGTCCCATGCATTCTACCCCTTTCGTCTTGGAGCAGCAAAAGACATGCTGTCTTTTGCATGGGAATCTGAGAGGAGAAATGTGCATTTACTGTTTAGTTTCTGTCGCTTCTTCACTTTCTCGGAGAAAAAAAGCCATTGGTGAGTACAATGCAAAGAAAGTGGATAAATACAGAGATTGGGATGATCATAGGGAGTTCTCTTTGCAAGGGGAGCTGGAAGGGAGAAGTTACACAAATTTAGATAGAGTAAATCTGTGATAAAAATTGTGGTGGGGTTCAGGTCAAACTCAAGGCATAGTCAAGGATTGATTGATCACCTGAGCAAAGGACTGAGTCAGCCACGGCAGCGCAGGTGAAGGCGATTCAGCTGTGAGACAGGCAATGTGGGGCCTGGTTGCGCCTCTCCTGGACCCCATTTAAGGGCTGACTGCCTGTGGGGAGGGATGACTTTCTGGAGATCTCTCCTCTGAAGTCTTTCCTGCAAACTGGGATCTTTGGCTACAGGTGAGCATTCCTTCTCTGTTTGTTTCTTTTCCTGTTTTCACCATGATTGTCTTTCCAGCTGTAACATCCAGTCAGTTTTTTTTTTTATCTGTGCAGGTGCCAGGCCTTTAGACGTAACTTTACCTGGGGGAGAAGGAAGCATTTGATGCTTTCTTACTTTACTTTTGTAATCTAGGATTAAGTGACTTTTTATAAGCAGGACAAGAAGTGATAGTGGGGAGGAGTTGGTGAAGCAAATGTGTATCTGGTAATTCTTTGAAAAACAATTTCCCATACTCCATGCAAGGCAGGTTTCAAAATGAGATAAAAATGACTGAGGATTACTGCAGTGATGGATATTTTGTGCCTGAGGTAAAGGGATAAGGCTTCAGACAGACTAAAAGGAAGTTAAATTCAGGAAAAGAGTGGGGATTAGGAGTTGGAGTAGGGTTCAAGTTAGGCTTTATTTTGGGAGCAAGTTTAGTTGAGAATTCTTCTTAAAAATAAGAGTTAGAGCGTATTTAGGATTTAAATTGAGAAGGCAAGGAATAGTTTTAGAAGCCCAAGATATCAAAGAAGGTATCTGCAGACGCTGTGTCACAGCGAGGTGTTGCTGATGCTGGAGCAGTTCCTGAGTGTTCTGTCTGTGCAATGCAGTGCAGTGCAGCCCCCTGGCACTGACAGAGAGTCTCCCTGTAGGGTGGCTAATGCTGCCGTGTGTGTGATTGAAGATGGGTGACCGTAAGGCAGCAGACCTCCTGTCCTTGCTGTCAGTCAGGGCTGGGCCTTGTTACATGCTCCCTACCTTCCCTACAGGATTGCTACAACTGGGTGTAGTAAGGGGTTACCCAGGAGTTTTTGCGGTCTTCAGAGGAGTGGCTGTAGGAGCTGGGATGATTTCCCCTGGAGGAGGCTCAGAGCAGACCTCACTGCTCTCTATGACTTCCTGAAGGGAGGCTGTGATGAGGGGGAGTTTGGCCTCTTCTCCCAGGCAACAAACAGGACCCGAGGAAATGGCTGCAAGTTGTACCAGAGGAGGAGGTTTAGATTAGGCATAAGGAAAAACTTCTTTCGGTGGTCAGGCACTGCAATGGCTGCCCAGGGAGGTGGTGCAGTCACCGTTCCTGGCAGTGTTCAAAAGGCATCTGGATGAGGAGCTACGAGAGATGGTTTAGTGCTTGTGGTAGCAGTGGTGATGGGAGGATGGTTGGACTAAATGATCTTGCACGTTGTTTCCAACCTTGTGATTCTGTGATTCTATGTTGGGATCAAAGGGAAAAGGAGAGTGGGGGAGGAGGGGAGTGTCTTGCAACTGCCAGTTTTATTTCTTCTTTGAACAGAAACTGTAGCACAAATAGTGCAAAGTCCTCTGCAGTATGTAGTTCTTCTCTTCTGGGACAGGTACCCAGAACTTGAGCATTAACTCTAACTTCCAGTGGACTACATGATGTTATGATATGGAATACCGATAACCAAAAATCATACAGCCATGAAACCCCTGGCTATCCATTTCTTTTCTACTTCTGACCTGCACTCTTTTCCTTAGTTTTCTTCCTCCTCTGCTCTGCAGTTCAGGGCTTCAAGGAGGCAACTGCTCTCCATGAGATGGATGAAAGGAAGCTGCTCCAGAACTGAGTGCTGCTGTGCCCCAGAGGAAGGGAGAGCATATGGGCAGTGTTCCTCCTGGGATTATGTGCATGTGTTAATACAGAGTTGCATTTTTGCCTGCGCTACTGGTTGTGTTTGTAGCCCTTTTGCACTGGGGAGCAGCTATCATTTGTATCAACTTTATATAGCAAAGTTTTGGTAGGTAGGTGCTGCAGGAGTGGCCCTTATGGGGGATTCAGAAGCTGCCCCATGCTGGATAAGAGCCAGTTCCAGGAAGCTCTGAAAGGGACCTGCTGCTGGCCAGGGCTGAAACAATGAGTGATGCAGGTCACGTCTCTAGGAGAGTACACTGAAGAAAGGGAACAAGTACTGCACAGCAGCAGCTGAGAAAGAAGAGTGAGAAAATGTGGGCAGCAACGACATGGTGAAAAAGAAAGGGAAAGTGGTGCCCCGGGTACCAGAGCAGGAGGTCCTCTGCAGTGTGCAGAGGTGGACGGTGGAGCAGGCCGTCCCTCTGCAGAGCAGATCTCCATGCTGCGAGCCTGTGAAGAAGACCACGGTGCAGCCAATGGAGAGCTTCCACAGGAACAGGCTGTGGGCCTTCGGAGAGGAACCTTTGGAGCGTGAGGTTTGGGAGCTGCCCACTGTGGGGAGTTCCATGCTGGAGTTCCATGTACAGTCCCGTGCTGAAGCGGTTCTTGAAGAACTGTGCTCTGCAGGGAGAATGGCAGCCCGTGGGAGGGACCCACGCAGGATTAGGTAAAGGAGTGAAGAGGAAGGAGTGCCAAAGACCAAGCGTTACGGGCTGATTGCCATCTTGTTCCCCGTTTCCTTGTGCTGCATGGAGGGAGGAAGTAGAAAAAGGTAAATGGGGGTTATTTAGTTCTTAGCGCTTACTGCTCTAGTCTGCTATTAGCAGGCAATAAATTATATTACCTCCCTGTACTGACTCTGTTTTGACTGTGTAACTGGTGAGGGATTTTCCTGTCCTTATCTCAATTTTTGGGACTTTTTTCTTCATGTTTTCTCTCCATGTCTTTTCAGGGAGAGAAAGAGAGAGCAGTCCGGTAGTGCTTAGCTTCCCATCGGTGTGAAACAGCTGCACAGGGGGTCTGTGAGGGGAGGGGATGGACAGTGCTGCGCAGGGGCGGCCCTGGGCTCCTGAAGGAGCGCAGCTGTGGGCTGTGCTGGAGGAGCCCTGCAGCAGCAGTGAGGGCGCTGACCAGGACGGGCTGCCTCCCTGGCTGAGGGTTTGCCCTGAAGCTGGGCTGGTGGAGCCTGCTTCACTTTTTTCTTCCTCTGTGTCAGTCCTGCATCCCATCTCCGCTTTTTCCCTTTTCCCTTCTCTCTGCCCTGAGCAGCGCACTGCTCTTACCTGCCGCCCATCGATCCCCTTGTCAGCTCTTGGCATGGTTTTTTCTATTTACCTGTTCTCTCTCTTTCTGCCTATTCTTTCCTGTCTGCTTTTTTTTTTTTCTTCAACTTATGCCTGTTTGTGTCTCTTGCTGCACGAGCTGCTGCTTGCTGCTGCTCTTCTCCATTTTCTGTTGCATGTCTGTCTCTTTGTATGGCCTGCTAACCTGTCCGT